TAATCAATGAGACATGAGCTCTCCACACTTCCTATCCCCACTCTTCATTTACCAGTCATTCCTCAGCCCACTGCCGTCTGTCTTCTCCTTATCCTATACCACATCTGCTCCATCAAAGGCCTCTGAGGATAAAATCGCCAAATCCAGTGGATGTGTATCATCTTGTATTGCTCTCTGTGCAGTCTTTCACCTCGGGAACCTCCCTCTCTCTGTGCCTATGATGACACCAGAAGGTTGTCTTCCATTTCCCAACCATTTCTCTTCTTGCTTCTACGCTACCACATCTTCCCACACTTGCTCTTTAGCTGCTGTTTGTTTACCTGTGTTAAGCTAGGTGATATGCCTTAAGGACAGAGCCTTTTGTGGCCTAGCTAGTCACCATCACCCCTGTGCCTAGACAGCTCTCCACACACTGGGACCTTCCTGTCAGAACTGCTGAATGTTGGAAACACTGTAGTAATCAGGGCACCATCTCTGTACTTCCTCCAGGGCAGAAGACAAAGTGAATAGGAGATGTCAACAAAGTATAGTAAGAACAATGGTACCAGAAGCTGTGGGATAATGAGCTGGTTACAGGATAAGCCTAAGGCCCTCAATACGGAGATGTCCTGCTGGTCTCAGCTTCACATGGAAGCTGAATGATCCTCTCCTACCCATCCACACACATTTTATTTTGGTCCATCACCATGCCCAGTTACCTACCATCTGAATACCCAGCAGAACCCTTGATTCCTCCCTCTCTCTATCTCACATCCAAACAAAAGCCAACTGCACTAGTTTAGACTCTATCACTGTGATGAGCACCATGGCCAATAGCAACTTCAAGGAAAGCATTTATTTTAGCTTACAGTTCATTATGAAGGGAAGTCAGGGCAGGAACTTAAGGCAGACAGTGAAGCAGAGGCCACGGAGGAATTCTTCTCACTAGCTTGCTTCTCCTGGCTTGCTCAGTTTACTCTCTTACATACCCCAAGACCACCTTCCCAGTGATAGCACTGGCCATGGTAGGTTGGGCCCTTCCAATCAATCAAGAAAATGCCCTGCAGTCTTGTCTACAGGGTAATTAGATGGGGACATTCTCTCAACTGAGGTTCCTTCTTTTTAGATGACTCCATATTGTGTCAAGTTGAAAACAAAACAAAAGCTAGCCAACATGCCAAGCAAGGCTGGAATTGCGGTCTCTGTGTTTGGCAGTACCGTCTCCATCACCACGGCCATCTCAGTGTGGTTATTACTATGCCCTACTATGTTTTAGCCTCTAGTCTTCCTCCCCCCAGGACCTTTTAAACACTTGTAAGAGTAAAAAAGATCATCTCCTTCTCCTCCTTTAGCTAGAATTCAAATTCCTAGGCATCGCACTCAATTAATGATTCTGCTCACAATTATCATCATCTCATCTCTGGAAGTCCAGTCCACCGAACCACCAGCGCCTACTGATAGCACTCATCACTCCCCATTCCTCTTTGTATTTGCACCAATTACTGAAACTTCCTCTGCAGATATTGATCAAATCCTTAAGCATTCTACATGAATAACTCTTAATCCATAAACCATTATTCTCTCCTTGTATAGATGAGAGCATGCAAATCAGTGTAGCCAACATATCACAAGCATAGAGAATTGAATCCTAGTCTAAGTGCCACAGACTGCAGCCCCAAAATGCTCCCGTGTGGCCTGATTTCACCTTGATCCACTGAGGTGCTCATCAACAGGTAACTTCTTAGCCATTTTTGAATGCCCAACTCAAATTCACTTTTTCCATGATACTTACTCCCCCAGAGGTGATTACTCACTTCCTTTCCAGCAATGTGTGGCAGCTGGTCATAATCCTGTTAGCACGTTTATCACACTCTTGGATGCCCATTTAGGGATGCACCAACACTGTATAGAAATCAGCTTACATATGAGAATTACTCTGAACTGTGGAAATTCCCACATTTATTTCCTGATCAGCCCTTTCATTCACCTGTGTTACCTCCTGTTTGTTTCTTGCTACCAATTTACCAGTTGCCATGCACTCCTAATTTCCTAGCCCTTTTGATTGACTCATTGTTTGCCAACCTTGCCAAACACCCTTTCTTTCCAAAAAGCTTCCGCCTTGGTCCCACAGGAGCTGTCTTTATTTTCAGTTACCAGATGACTCGTTTTCAAGTCTCTCTGCCACAAACTTTTTCTAAATCTCACAGCTTTCACTTGATCTTGCTGTCTAGTTCACAGTTCTGATTTCTCCCGACTTCCTGGTTCTCTCTGTGCCTCAGTTCTTCTAACTGCCAAATTCTGCATGTGTTTCTAATTCCAGCTTGCAAGGATAAAGGACGGGTTTGTCCCAGCTCACCTTAGGATTGAGCCTTTATCACCTGCCATCCTATGCATTGCCAGGCCTTGGGTCCAACCAGCTGAGACAATAGACATACGGTCAAATCATGAAAACACTGGTCACAAGTCTGCCCCTTCAGCTGAAGCTGTAAGTGAGGCATTTTCTCTCTAAAAAGATTATGACGTGGACAAGTGCACAATTGGGGTATGTAGCAGCATCTTGTCTGTGAACCTGTAACAGTGGCCATGCCCTTTGGGCATGGTTTCAGGTGCAGACAGGACGGGGACCGAAGCCCCTTTATGGGTCTCAGAGAGCATCAGAGAGGCAAGGTCTCCATCCTTCAAGCAGGAACGCAGCAGCGACAATTACTGTTGTAAGTTCATCCCCAATAAAACACCTACTTATCATTTCTTGGGTCTGGTGAGCTCATTATAACCCATTGCCTTCAGAGGTATACAGTAATTTAGATTAATGGCTCTCTAAGTAACTTTTATTATAGATTTTAAAAAAATCTGATAAAAACTATGTATCTTCCTCTGGGGGGAAAATTCCTTATGCAGAAAACGTCACACATAACTTTAGGATTTTAAAGAATTCTAGCAGCCACCTTCAATGTCCCACCACCATCTGTGTGAAGTCCATCCCTGGAGAACAGACACTGTATCACACTTGTGTTTGTATTTGCAGACCCCAGAACAGTGTTTGGCACATGAGAGGTTTTCAGTCAGATGGGAATAAAAGAATAAGCTGACACTTTAGTTTATTCATTAAGGCTTAACAGGTTATTCAGAGCTGCAAAGAAACTAAGAAACTTGGAGTTTAAATTATTTATTCATATTGTTATTAATTATTGTTCGGGGACTCATCATAGCCCACATGTGGAGGTCAAAGGCCAACATAGGAGTTGGTTCTCTTTGCCATCATGTGGATTCCAGTGATCAAACTATTGGGCTTGGAGGATGCACTCTTACCCTCAGAGCCATCTCACGGACCCCAGAAGTTTGGTTTATATAAAGTACTAGTAGGACACTTTGTTACTTTTATTGTTTCATGTTTTGCTCTGAAGTAAGCAGTTGATCAGAACTGCACATCAGGAAAATGTGTTTTTATATTGATTAAATGTTTCTTTTTTTTTTATTGGAGGGCAAGGGTCCAGTTACAAAATAAAAGAAAAAAAGGGAGTGGGAATGTAAACTAGATCAGTGTGGTAGTATAATTATGGGTGGGTCCAAGTACAATAAAGCTGACATTACAAGGGCTTTGATTTAAAAAAAAATGTGTAAGAAAGACTTAAAAGAAAACACTGTGGTAGTGTTTTCAAGTAAGGAAAATGGAAAAATAGCCACATTGTTGGCAGAAATGGAGAAGTGAGGGTGGGGGGAGGGAAATCTAATTATTTCTTAAATTATTGAGGTTCAAACACAGGTGGGGCTTTCGAGTATGTTTCTTTTAGTTTGGATTTTAATTTTCTTTTGAGACAAGGACCTACTCTGTAACCTAGGTTGGTCTGGAACTCACTATGTAGCCCACAAGCTGCCCTCAGACTTTCAGCAGTTCTCCTGCCTCTGCCTTGCAAGTGCTGAGAATACAGGCAAGAGCCACCATGTCTGACTTGTTTAATGGGGTTCTAAACAAGGGCCAGAAGCTGTGAGGGTGAGTACAGATGAAACTGGAGAAGAGGATTTGGTCTCCTGTACCCAGGAGTCAATAGCAGAAGCTGGCAGTGAATAGACACTAGGGCATATTCACACAGAGCTCCATTTGCGTCTACGCTGCAGATTCTGGAGTCCCTGCAAAGACTTCACTCTGTGACAGTCCTAAAAGTTTACTAAATAGTAAAGATGACACGACTTGTTTCTAGATAAGGAAATGGAAGCTCAGAGGGGAGAGCAGTCTTGACAAAAGTACTGCAGTGGCGTTATGGACCGAAGATTAGAAGCCAGATGTGCTTCACTCAATCCCCAACTTCACTGAAATGCCGGCAGGCAAATGCCTCACTAGCCCAGGCCAATGTTTAGCTGTAATAGTTTGGTTATTTTCATTTTTCTGTTTTGTTAACTGCCATTTTAAAGCCTGAGAGCCCAATGAAAATTATCTCTAGACAATAATCATCAATATTCTGCTGGCAATAACCATTACAGTCAGGTAGGCCAGGAGGTGCATACCTGTAAATCCAGCACTTGGGAAGCCGTGGTAGGAGGGTCCTAAGTTCGAGGCCAGCCCTTGCTACACAAAGTCAAAATCAATCTCAGCTACATAGGAAGACCTTGTCTCAAAAAAAAAAAAAAAAATTAAAACCACCACTGTTCATTAAATATCTTCAGTGTAATAGAATAGACAGCCCGGATCCTAGAGCCCTCCTTGACAACTATGATCCATTCTTCTTTTTAACGGAACCATTCAGCTTATCTAACCTGAAGTGCAAATGGTCCCAGACCGGAAATGAGCTAGGCATATGGACAGACTTTCCCCAAAGCCAACGATCTTTGAGATTCACAGGAGAGAGGGAGAGAGGCCTGTTGAGTGTCAGGGAGGACAACTGGTGTGTTGTGTGCCTGTGCGTGAATCTAGGCAAAGCGAGTTCGAACGCAGTGGGACAGGCCTAGGCCTGCAGAGGGGAGGGGTGGGGGAGGGCCCGGCCTGAGTCAGTCTGAGGGGCGGGACCCGGACCCTGACCCCGACCCGGACCCTGATCGCCACTCCTGTCCCTGCTGTCATCAGCCACAGTCACCGCTCGACTTTGCTCCTCACCAATTTGGTAAGTCTAACTTATAAAGATTTTTTTTTCTTCCGTTTCAATGAAAAGAACAAAGGGCAAAGCTACGCGTGCTCTCGGCCGGGTGTATCTGAGACTAAGTGTGGACGTGGCAGAAAACAGATCAGGAAGAAGAAACCGTGTGGGAGGCAATTAGAGAAGAGCGGAGGGCACCGCGAAGCCCTAAAATTACACCCTAATGACAGCCTGGAGGAAGAAACGGGGACTTTTGTTCACCTAGGCAAGATGCAGGGTAGGGCTGGGTGCGGCCGCCGGACTGGCCTCGGAGCCCGGGCTGGGTGTGGCCCCCGGGGGCGCTGAGCCTTGCGCACCTGTACCCAGTGGGCGGCGGGGACTTCGGCCGAGCCACCTATTCCGGGAAGGCAGGGCACTCCGCCGGAGAGCTGGAGATCTGGGAGAAGTTCTGGCGGCGGCGTCAGGCGTTCGTGCAGATCAGAAAGTGAGCAGTTCAGAACTTATTCTTATTCCCGAGTTCTCATTCCTGAGTTCTGGGGAATCAGCTGCGGAAGCCGCGGGCAAGGGGCCAAGGAACACATACGTGCACCGAAACTGCAGCCTGTTGCAGCTGCCCGCGGAACCGCCGGCAAGAATGTGGGAGGAGGCCAGTCCCTCCCAGCCCGCTCCTTTCCTCTTCCCCTTACTCACCCCCCCCCCCCCCCCCCCCCCCCCCCCCCCCCCCCCCCACCTGCCTGTCTCCTCGTTTGTCTGTCTGACTTTTCCACTAATTCACCCGTAAAGTCTACTTCCCTTTGTCTCTGCAATGAAGAAGCTCAGCAAACTTTGGAGAGTGGTCCTAGTCCCAAACTAAGCATAGATTTTGGTTTTTAAATGGTTGGAAGACGAAAGGCAAATGATCCCTTGTGATACATGAAAATCAAATGTATAAATTTTATAGGCACTCCACACCCTTTCACTTTTTGTATTTTGTTACTCTTGGTGCTGGGCTACAGTGAATGACAGGACCTTATGGAGCATAAAGAGCTCAAAGTAGTCACAGCTGCCCCTTTATTTTAAAAGAAAAAAGTTTGCAGACCCCTGCTTTGGCGTGCCAATCTCTTATTTTCCTTCTTCCCCTTTTCGTCACACAGGGTGCCTTGGGTCCAGCACCCACGGGTTGAGAGGTGGAGGAAGAGTGTTGGCTTTGGTTAAGAACGAAAGAGTTAACTGGTGTGGTTACCTTTTTCCCATATCCCCATCACAGGGAGGCTTTCCTGCAATGTTGAATGTTTAGGGTGCATTTAAAAATTCTTTGACTGTGTCCTTCCATCGCGTGTTTCCCTCCTTGCAGTCACTGGTCCCATCATGTAAAACGGTGGTGTGGTGAGGGCCCTTTCTTTCAGCCACTGCTACACAGGGGCAAAACCTTCCCACCCTAGCAATACATTCTGCAAAATATGGGGGAAGGAAGCATCTGTAGGTGTGGAAAACACAGAGCTGGGCCCATCAGCCTGGAACCTTCTCCCCAGTCTAGTGTGTGCCCCAAGCCAAACTTCTGCGATCACATGACACACTAGTAATAAGGTATTGAGATTTTAGTTCTGATAGGAGGGGCATGTTGTGCAAGCACTTGTTTCTAGGCTGTGATGTTTTGTTTTGCTTTGTTTCTCTAGGCCTTGAACCTACCAACACTTTTATCTTCTTCAGTTAAAGCTTCCTGTCAGGCAGCTTAAGTCTCCAACATTGTGACTGTTTAAAAAGGATTTATCTCCAGAAGGTTCAGGTGAACATTCCTAGGTGCAGCGGGCTACAGCAGTGCAACTTTGAGGGTAAAGTGCCTAAAGACAGGAGGTGCTAGGAGCAGAAACCAGGGGCTACAGGCCGGCTAGCTTTTGTCATCTTTATCACACTGCCTGAAAGCTCCCAGATTTCATATCCAAGAAGCCCATCAGAGAGAAATCAAAGGCTAAATTCTAAGTTGCAATTGTTAACATCCATCCAAATCATAATTAATTAACATCAAGAAGGAAGCTTCAGGGTGTGGCCCAGCAGCTTCCAAGAAATCCTGCAATTGTGCACTCATCCACCAGGGGGAGCACAACAGTTCAATTCTGAGTTCTGGGCTCAGATTCTGCAAGAATGAGTCAACCCAGTAAGATTTCCTTTAGGAATTCTGCTGTGAGAAAAGCAGAGTCCTGCACAGGATATGAACTGATGCTCTTTCTGGTGCAACCACATATTTGGTTCAGCTCTGTAATAAGAAATTCCAGCTACCATTCCTGTGGAAATGCGTGGCATTTGGATGAAACAAAGGCAGATGTCAACAGAAAGAAACCTGGGAGCCGAGAACCTGGGGGTAATCTGCCATGATAGTTACCCTCTTGTGCCTCAGTTCTGCACAACTAAGTTAATGGTATATAGTTGTCAGCTTCACACTCACACACACACACACACACACAGAGAGGGAGAGAGAGAGAGAGAGAGAGGAGAGAGAGAGAGAGAGAGAGAGAATTATTTGTGATTTTACTAGGTAGCCCAGGAACCCAAACTCTTGATCCTTCAAGCATATGTATCCTCACATGTAGTTGAATATACTTTGGCACATCTAAAATCCACCCCCTACCTGCCAGTGCACAATTACAGATATGCTGTTCATTTTCTTCAAAGAAATGCCTGGTTTCAAGAGTTTGGCATTAATTTAATGGCATCCTAATCATCATAGCAGCCTCTCCCTGCTCTTGGGGAATAGGTCACTGTTATTTTCCTCTAAAGTTCAGTGTGGGGGGCAGGGGCATACAGGCTATTCATGTAATTACTCACACTGTCTAAGAGTGTGTGTGTGTGTGTGGGGGTTACAGACTATGCATGTATTTGCTCACACTGTCTGAGAATGTCAGAGAAGTTTCTCCCTCATCTGAACTGTCTAGTGTTTTCAAACGTCAGCCATATGGAATGCTCTATTGCACTGGGAATACAGTGAGCTATGAGAAAGAAGGTCACAGAATGTTGCTCTCTGTGGTGTTGTCATTTTTCTGACCCCGATAAATGAGTCAGACTTCAAGAAACTTCTTCAACCCAAGACGAGGCACTGTGAACCTCTGGTACTCTCCATTCTCTAGCCTTCCTAACCCTCAAAATATTTTTAAGCTGAGCTCTGTATTTTTGTTTTCTTCAAAGGCAAAAATGTCGAAACCCACAGAGACTGAACGGTGCATCGAGTCCCTGATTGCTGTTTTCCAAAAGTACAGTGGGAAGGATGGGAACAGCTGCCAGCTCTCCAAAACTGAGTTCCTCACTTTCATGAACACGGAGCTGGCCGCCTTCACAAAGGTATCTGTCCTTGCCTCCATACACGGATTGCTCTCTGAACAAAATGGGAGCCTGGCAGAATGGTCAATCATTAAGGGTCAGAGCTGCCTCCTTCTCCCTAGCTCCAGGCCAAGGGGTCTGTTTCTCAGCCCTTGCTGAGTCTCTGGTTCTTGGGGTGAGCTCCATCTGAGCCATACCAATGGCCTGGCACTGGGATTGGCATGTGAAATGGCATGTGCCATAACAGAATCAAATTTTATTTCTCTACCCCAAAGACTGTGGGGCAGCTCTGTCCAATAAAGTTTTCTGTAATGATGAAAGTTTTCTTCACACTACTGATGGAGTAGCCAAAAGTCACATGGTTGTGCCAGACACTCATCCTACTCACTTGAAATATGGCTGACAGTGTTCTAAATTAATCTAAATACAAATATAGATAGTGGTGTGTGTGTGGGGGGGGTGTGGGTGTGGGTGTGGGTGTGTGGACTCAGGTTGATGGGGAATGAGGCTTCTCAGGCAAGGCCTATGATGTTCTACCTGAAACCACTCACTTCGATATGGTTTACATGTGGGACTTGCATGCAACACTTTTACAAAGTTGAATAACCCTTAATGTCACAGAAAAAGCACAGGACAAGGAGCAAGGAAGTCCAGGTTCACGTCCAGGTCTGTTGCTAAAGCAGGTCCCTTCCCCTCTTTGAATCTGTTACTTCATGTTGAAAAAGGGACTATTAAAATCCCTTTGCTGGACCTTAGACTCTATTGAGAATAAGATGTGGTGACATATTTGAAAGCACCATAGAAAGTGAAATATGAAGATGTCTTTGTCTTCGCAGAACCAGAAGGACCCTGGTGTCCTGGACCGCATGATGAAGAAGCTGGATCTCAACAGCGATGGGCAGCTAGATTTCCAAGAGTTTCTCAACCTTATTGGTGGCTTAGCTTTAGCTTGCCATGAGTCCTTCCTGAAGGCTTCCCAGAAGCGTGTCTAACCCATCCAGCCACCAACCCATCACATCCTTCCCCATCCACACCTGCACTGAGCCCACCACACCCACCATAAAACGTAACCCATTCCTGCTGGTAGAAATAAAACAATGTCATTTTTTTTAATGTATGCCGAGAGTCAGTAGATTTGTGTGATGGAGAGTGACATGTAGGAGGAATGTAATGGAAGTCATTACCGGAAGCGGCCTAATAAACAGTGAAGATGCCTCTTGGGTGTGCACAAAATGATGAAGATTGAATGATACGGCCAGAGTCAACTCATGTTTCTAAGGTTGCTGGACAGAGGCCATTTGTGGTCATCATTCACGTAGTAACCATCTATGTCACAGGCCCTGAGGATACAGTCAGACAGGCAAGATCCTGCCTTTGATTTCTAGTGGGGAAGAGAACTAGAACAAAGGATTGTCCCCATGAGGACAGATGTCCCAGGAAGGAGATATGATGGCCATGTCATTGTGGCTGCACAGTACATTACTGATATATGAAAGGAAGAAGAAGAAAGCATTTCAAGGCTGAAGAGGACATTTGAGGAGAAAGATCTGGGGAGGTTAAGGGACAGAATAGAGCAAGAGCTGCCAGTGCTCCGTGTTTGGTATGGACTTCCTCACCTATCACTGCCTCTAGCTGATAATGTCTTCAGTCTCTAGCCCTCCTGAGAGCTGCACAGAGAAAGCCTGGATGGGTAGCAAGGAGCCAGCAGATGGCAGGTTAGAAAGTTACGAGGAGAGAGAGAAGCAGATTACAGTAGTGTGTTGTCCTTCCTGAGGAGTTAAGCAAAATGGCCCAGACGGTTTGTGAGGTTGTTTTAGCTTGTGGAGGTCCAAAGGAAAGTCAGTGACTCAGGCTAACAAGTCCCATGCTTTTTATGTGTAAGTATGACTGACTTCCTCTGAAGGACTTCTTTAATTGGTTAGTGGGACATGAATGAGGGGGGTGTCTGTAACCCATAAAGTTCTCCATATTCCTTTTGCAGGTGCACATTATATTTAAAAAACAACAATAACAAACCATACCATTACCCCCAGTGAAGGGATGGAAAAGTACCAAGCGTATTAATGTTATACTGGTCTGTTGGCTATCCTACAAGAAATCAATGTCTCCCAATTGAGACATCAGGGTTCAAGGAGACTAATTGGAGTATCTTTACTTGCCAGGTGACACCAGGTTCTGGTAAGAAGTAAGACTAATTAGTGTCAGGCTGTTAACTGAAAATTCCAACACTAAACCTTTATAGAGTGCCTGCTCCATGAAAAGGGAATGGATGGTAGAGAGATGCTAGGAGGAGGGGTTGGTTTGACAGAGCTGATGAGTTCAGGAGAGTGGTGTGCTGAGCATGACAAAGGTCTAGTTACCAGGAACACTTACTTCTCTTTACCTGGTTCTGCCACCTGAGCTTCAAAATGGCCTCCTAGAGCCCTTTATTTAAAACAATTCAAGGAGCTTTCATTTTGTGCATTCATGAGTCAAGCAAATATTAATTTGAACAGTAGAACACTGTTCATAGTATCTCCCAGGGAGTAATAAAAAGGCAGAGAAGATTCTCACTCTTAAGAACCTTGCACTCTCAAGTTCATCATATCTCAGGCTGAACTTACTGTTTTCCCCACCTGCAAACCATCACCTCCATCGACCCCGTCTCAGGCAATGACTCATAGTGGTCCTACCCAGAAATATGGAAATCAGCTTTGAACTCTTTTCTCCCATGTCTTACTTCCCCATCAGATCCTCAATCCGTTCAATTCTTCTAGGTTACATCTTGATTTCACCCTGGCCCAGGCCACTGCCTCTCTCCTGAGAAGATGGTGGCTTCCTTACTCCTGCTCCAGCTTTCCCTTGCAGCATCTCACCAGGGTGCTGTCCAGCTGAAGGCCTTAGGAGGCTCCACGGTGCTTTTGGGTGTGTAGGGCCAGATACCACCCACTCCCCTTGGTGAACCACCTCTTGCCTTTCTTGCCTCTTACATCCTGCTCCCGCCCCACTAAGTTCCAGCACGTTGAGCTTGTCTACTTTCCTCTATGTACCTTCCTTCCCTTTCCCTTCCTGAGGCTGTTCCCACCTTAACCTCGTTACTCTAACCTTTCATGTCCCAGCCGAAGTGGTCATTTCTTCCCACGGACGTGTGTTTATTCCTCCTCTGCGCCCTCATTACTTTATTTCTGACTCTTCTCTGACATATTTAACCATTGCTCCTTCTGTCTAAAAATATGGACATGTCAAGCTTGGCAGGTACACACACACACACACACACACACACACTTGAAAATTTATTTAGAGTGTATTTGTTACTGGTCTCAAATCTGTTTAAATCCTTTGTATTTGCTCTTCTTACACGAAACTTAATTCAGTATTCCCTAATCCATAAAGACACTTTCTGGGAGGCTGGAGAGATGGCTCAGTTGTTAAGCACAGCTGTGTTGTTCTTTCAGAGGTCCTGAGGTTGACTCCTAGCACCCACATGGTGGCTCACAACTGCCTATAACTGTAGCTCCAGAGAGAGCCCACTCTTCAGGCTTCCATGGGCACCTTCAGTTACATCCACATCCACTTACAAATAAAAATAGATATTTAAAAAATGGCTTCTGTTTTTGTTTGCTTCCTGTGTAGCCCAGGCTGGCCTCTACTTTGTAGTTCTCCTCCCTCTCTGCCTTGCCTGGCTCTGTTGTCTTTATTAAAACCAAACTTAGTTCTTCTCAAAGACCTGATGAGACAAATCCACTGAAGATTCTTATGGTTGATGAAGGTGTAGTTGAGACAAATAGAGGAAAATAGGTCATAAAAATGGAGAAGTAGCTGGGCATGATGGCACACAGCTTTAGTCACAGCACTTAGAAGGCAGAGGCAGATCTCTGAGTTGGAGGCCATCCTGGTCTATATAGCAAATTCCTGGCCAGTCAGGGCCACATAAGGAAAGACTCTTTCTTAAAATACAAAACAAAACCAAAAAACTGGAAGGGTCATTCATTTAGGTTGTTTTCCAAGTAAAGGAAAAAAAAAGAAGGCTAAATCCCTACTGTCTGTCTGTCTGTCTATAAATAAGTAAATAAATAAATGTAACTGAAAATCATTGTTAAGTGTGACTTATGTCAGAAAGCTAATACATCAAATATTGGTAAATGTTCAAGTTTTTAAGTTGTCTCCTTACATTATGATTTTATGAACATTCAGTTAAACCTTTCTGAACTAACTATTTAATATATTAACCAAGCCAGTCCTGGTCCCTACTCTTCAGAGAAGAGGGCTTTTGCCATGTGTCAGGAAGCTCTCTCACTTGGCTCCCTGACCCCTTTGACTTCTCACTCTTTTTGTCACCCTTGATTGAAGGGGGCATTTAAAGGCAAACTCAGGGATGCCAACTGCATTGCTGATCAGATCTTCATTCTCTTAGAATGCAGAATAAAGTCTTCCTTGTTGAGACATCCAAGAGCTTTTGACATTCACTCACGCTTCACTTCTCCAGCCTCACTTTCTACTGGCCTTTACTTAGTGGTGCCAATCTAACAATTACATCCTCTTTTCCTCACGTACCTTGGCTATATTAACCTTCTTAGTGCTCTTTTTCTCTCTGAACTGTGCATTTTTTTATTTGTGTTCTACTTGCTCTTTTTCATCATAGATCTACATGAGTTATCAGTAATAACCATTCCAAGGACTCAATGTTATGCTGTCTTGAAATTTCCTTTGCCAAAGAAACTCATTTATTATTTTAAAATTTAGCCCCAGGCCAGTTCTTCAGATATAGGCAGAAGGCAGCTAGATTCTTTGCCAAATGCTTGAGGCCTAGTTCATAATACAGTCTTTGTTTTCTCTGAAACTTCTCAAGGCAGGCCTCTGCAGTCCCCAGTACTCTCAGCACCACTGTCTTCCAGGTTCCTACTAGAATGACATGTTAAATTCTGCTTACAGCATATAATGCTTCTTTTAATCTGAAGTTCCAAATTCTTCCACATCCCTCAAAACAAGACAAGATAAAACAAAACAATAACAAACACAATCAGGTTTTTCACAGGCAATATTCCATTTCTGGAACCAACTTTTGCATTAGTTACATTTCTGCTATTTCGATAAAATATCATAACCAGAAGCAACATAAGAAAAGAGTTTTATTTTGGATTACAGTCCAGAGGGTTAGAGTCCATAATGGTAGAGACAGCATGGTAGCAGTAGCTGAAGCAAAAACTCCCTGATCGTATTGTATCAGCACACCAGAAAATGGAGAGATCAAACTGAAACTGGGGTGATGTTATAAACTCTCAAAGCCTGTCCCTCATGATGTACTTCCCCCAGCAAGACTCCTCATCCTGAAAGTTACACAACCTCCCTGAACAACACTATGAATTGGGGACCAAGTGTTCAAATAATAAGTTTATGGAAACATTTCTCATCTAAACCATCACTAGGGGGAAAGGTTAGCATTCACTTGTGTGTGCTCACACACATCACATGCATGTACATTGATTTCATGGGCACACATGCCTTCCAGCCATGGTGGGCTCTTACCTTCTGGAGCCATAAGCCAAAATCAGTGCTTTTATCTATAAGTTGCTTTTAGTAATGTGGGAAATTAACAATACAGAGCCAGGTAAAAATACAAGGGAATTTAATAGGGAAAAGCCTTACTTACAGAGCGACCTAGCCAGCTGGCGGGCAGCAGTAAGTATAGCAAGCCTAAGACGAAAGTGAAAGCAGGCCGCCACATAAGCGTTCCTCCTTTTAAACTTTCCCAGGTGTGGCCACCCTGACCACACCCTCCCAGGCATGGTCAGGCACACCTGTAGCCAGCCCCTAAGCAGGCGTGGCTACAGAATCCCCTACAATGGTATTTTTTTTTATCACAGCATCAAAAAGCAACTGATACTCATACCATCTTCCTTGGTGCCAATACTACACTACAACCAACAATGCACGTGTTACAATTTTCCTTACGCTCAACAACATCTGCTTTTTGTTTTCAAATAATGAATCAATTTGGTTTTAGTCTGCATTTCCTTGATGTTTAAGATACTGGGCCTTTTGTCACATGCTTATTGTCCATTTGTATGTCTTCTTTGGAAAATGTCTGTTTGAGTGCTTTCTTTTCTTTGTGTTCAGAGGATAAATTTAGGACCTCAA